TTCGGAATTCCCACCGCACAAGTATACATTACTTTTTTTGTTTCCATATTTTTGGCTTGTAACATCTTCTTTTGCTTTTTTCCTTGTTTGGGGAATAACTTGACAACCCAGCCAACTATGGCCAGTAAAAGTAGATCGTCAGTCTCTTAAAGTGATCGATCAATATTTAAACGGAGCTATCACTGAAGTGGAAACAAACTACGTAAAGCCATGGAGAGCAACAAGAAGACCCTATTCTCATCCGCCATGAAAGGGGAATGGGGCAAGGTCATTGAAATGTACAAGCAAGATGCGACGCTTCACAATGCCAGAATTACTCGCTCTGGACAAACTGCTTTGCACATAGCAGTCTCTGATGGGAAGGAGGACGTGGTGAAGCAGATGGTCAGCGCCATGTCGCTGAAACAACCTCGTAGCGAGGAACTTACAAGGGCTCTACGAACTGCTAATAATAGAAACAACACCGCCTTGCATTTGGCGGCTTACACGGGCAATGCCAGAATGTGTCACATCATTGCTAGCGTGGAGCCTACCTTAGTGGATGATCGTAACGTTGACGGCGAGACGCCTCTCTTCTTGGCCGCTCTCTATGGCCGAAAACATGCTTTCCTTGGCCTTCATTACATCCGAAACCCTCCCGCCACCACTCCCTACTATGGTAACTGTAGAAGGAACAACGGTGACACTATTCTTCATTGCGCAATCAACGGTGACTTCTTTCGTACGTGTCAATTCATTCTCTATTAACTCTTTCATTTCCACTGGCTAGCTTCTCCATTATATATATGTTTGTTTATTCCAGTCAACTATAACATTATTTAATTAATACTCTCTCTCTCTCTCTCTATATATATATATATAGATCTCGCATTTCGAATAGTTCATCTGTATGAAGAGCTTGCGAATTGGGTGAATGAGGAAGGATCGTCTCCTCTGCATTTGCTAGCATCAAAGCCTAGTGCTTTTAGGAGCGGAAGCCGCCTTGGACGGATGGAAACCCTCATTTATCACTGTATGTAAATTCGTGTCATTCTTCATGCATGCATGCTTAGTTAACTAAGGAAAAAAAGCCTTTTTGGTTGATTCATCGATCGGCATGATGTTTATAATATGTGCATACTATGTTTGTTTGTCTGTCTTGAAGGTATACAAGTTGAGAAGCTTAAGGTAGAAAATCCAGCATATGAACATCAGAAATGCACTAGTGCAGCCGAGGACAGCGATAGCCATGATTGTCCTGACAACTGCAAAATATTGTGGGATGTTTCCCGACTAATAAAAAAAGTGATTACTGCTGGTAATTTCCCCCTCCATGCCCTAGCTGAGATCTTGTTAGCATATATTATAACTGGGACTTAAATTACCGTGTTTTCTATTTCCAGTTGTACGCAAACCTGCTGAAGCTTATGCGGAAAATCCCGAAGCAAGAGGTGAGAGATCTTTTGAATTTTGGCATTAATTAAAATTGCACATATGTGAGTACTATTGAAAATTAAACTCTTGTACCATTGTTTAATTAGGATCACAAGTAGTGGACGGAGGTCAGGCAAATCCGCTATTTCCAGTTAATTATAAAACCTGTTGCGACTTGATCAGGTTCTTTTATCTGGTGCTTCTGATAATTTTGGGGAAAGGTATATATGCTTATTTATGTTTGGCTTATACGAAATATATATGATGGCACACGACACTCACAATTTATATATGCTTATTATATATTTCGAAATTTCCCCAGGATCTGAGGAATTGAGGAAGATACATCGCAAAAAGGAGAACCATACATGGTCTGCTCAGATAGTCGAACAACTTCTTCGCCACGCTTCCATGTATGAGTACGAGGATGATGGGAGGAACCCCGAAGAAGACGAACGCTATCCAAAGCTGTGGTCAGACGCCGATGGCATCCCGCGAGTATCAATCAAACCTTCGAACACCGAGAACAAAAGTAATGATGAGCAGAATCCTAAAAGGAGGACAACAGAGACTCCTATATTAGTGGCCGCAAAGAATGGTGTGATGGAAATAATAGAGAAAATTCTGGAGTTATTTCCTGTGGCCATTAACGATATGAATGAAGATAAGAAGAACATCGTGTTATTAGCAGTAGAATTCAGGCAACCTTATGTGTATGAGTTCTTGTTGAAGAAGGCTATTTATAAAGAGAGCTTATTTCATCAGATGGATAAGGATGGAAACAGTGCGTTGCACTTGGCAGCCACACTTCGTGAGCACAAGCCTTGGCTCATTCCTGGCGAAGCTCTTCAAATGCAATGGGAACTCAAGTGGTACAAGGTAATTAATTAATAATAACAAGATACGTGTGTGTGTTTGTTTTTTCTGTAATATCTGAATTATGATTATCTGAATGTTATTTCTGATGCAGTTCGTAAACGAGCCAATGCCACCTGATTTCTTTGTTCGATACAACAATAAGAACGAAACCCCAGATGTTGTGTTTACCAATACTCACAAGGACCTCACGAAAACGGCCTCCGAGTGGCTAAACAAAACCTCAGAATCATGTTCGGTGGTGGCGGCACTAATTGCCACGGTGGCATTTGCCACAGCAGCCACTGTGCCCGGCGGATTCATCCCAGAAACAGGCGAACCAATCCTTGAAGATAGGCGAGAATTCCAACTGTTCGCCATCTCATCACTCATGGCACTGGGCTTCTCCATCACGGCCCTGGTGATGTTCCTATCTATTCTCACTTCTCGATTTCAAGAGCAAGACTTTAACAAAGACTTGCCGAGGAAGTTAATAGGTGGTTGACTTCCTTGTTCGTGTCGATTGCTTCCATGTTGGTGTCATTCTGTGCTGGACATTTCTTCGTGCTCAAGGATACACTTCATCATCTTGCTCTTCCACTTTACGTGGTGACTTGCCTCCCTGTAACCCTTTTTGTTTTGGCACAGTTTCCGCTCTACTTGGATCTTCTGTGGGCTATCTTCAAGCACGTTCCACAACGTAGTTACAGTCCCACCGCTGGACTTCAATTGTGATCCTCAAGTTTTCCATGTCTCATCATCAGCCTGATTTCAAGTCTATTACATGTGTGTACTTTTATTGACTTATTATGATTATACTACTATATTTATTATGCAGCAACTTAAGTGTGTGCGAGTGATTTAGTATTTTAATTTTTAAGGTGCTTGGATGTAATGAAGTGTGGTTTCAAGTGCCAAAACTTTATAGCTTAGAATGAAGCATATCAAAGCAGTCATTCAAGAGGCATGACGAATGAATTTGATTAAGTTCAAGAATCTCATTAACAAGGAATCACGTACGAATGATAAGAACAAATATTAGTGAATATATATTAGCTTTCGGTGGCTATATGTCAAGGGTGTGTGTATGTGTGTGTGTGGAGACAGAAATCATGGAAACACCATTGGCTGTAGAGCTAGCCATGTGCTTTTTATTCAGTACTCGTTACGATTTTTGTATTTGCAGCTAGCCAGGAACTTTAGTGTACGATAAATTTAAGATTTTTAGCATAAATATTATGGGGATGTAATAGAGTGTGGCTACGGGTCCCAGAAGAAAACCAATTTTCGCCAACCTCATGTAACCGGAATAAAATTTCTCGGACGTACTTATCAAAGCATATACTACACAACGGCATACATAATTTAATACTACCTCTTGTACTTAATACTACCTCCACTCCTAATTACAAGAGCTAGTTGATTAATTTGAGAAGATTAAGAAAATAAGTTAAGTTAGTTATTTGTAATGAATATGTGTTGTTTTTTCTAAAACATCTTATTAATCAAGTATATTGTCTAGAACTATATTTATTATTAGAAGGATTTCTTTGGAAAAAAAATACATAAATATGAGAGTCAAAATGGATTGGGGTCTTATATTTAGGATCAAAATAAAAGTCAAACGAGGTCTTATATTAAAGACAGGAGGTAGTATAAGAGTTAGTTGACTAATTTGAATAGATTAGAAAAATTAATTTAGTTATTTATAACAAATAAGTGTTGTTCCTAAAACATTCTTACTAATCAAGTGCATTAGTTAGAACTACTATTATTACAATGACTAACTTGAAAAAAATAGATAAATATGAGAGACAAAGTATACTAGAGTCTTATAATTAAAACCAAATAAAGTCAAATAAGTTATTATATTAAGACTGGAGGTAGTAGATTACCTCTAATTAATACAGGAGCTAATTTGAATTTTAATTTGATCCTAAATATAAGATCTCCATTTACTTTGTGTCTCATTTTTATTCATTTTTCTCCAAGATAGTCCTTACAATAGCTGTACATATTAAATGTTTTATCAAACATTAAAACTAATACACTTGATTAGTAAGGATGTTTTAGAAAAGACAACACATATTTATTACGAATAACTAACTTAACAAACTTTCTTAATTTACTCAAATCAATCAACTAATTTTTATATTAAGGAGTTGAAGTAGTATTATTTACATATATTTAAATAGTTTCTTTTTAGGGTCACACGTGTTTAAGATTTTAAATAGTTGTATTAATCCATATACATACTACTTATGAGTCTTAATATAAGATACATTTGACTAATTTGAATAAATTAAAGAAGTTTGTTGAGTTATTTATTTGTGATAATTAGGTGTTATTTTTCTTAAAATATTTTTGCCAATAATGTATTAGCTAAAACTATTATTAAATTGAATATTTAATATATACAATTACTACAAAAATTATTTTAAAAAAATAGGTAAATATAAAAGATAAAGTAGATTAAGATTTTATATTTAAAATTAAATTAAAAATTAAACTAGTTTTTATACTAAGCAGGTAGCTGTATAAAATGTTTTGTATTATTATACATTTATACTCCCCAGAGACCATTTTTGGGACGCTCTGACGTGGCCGCTGGCCCTGGCGACTCGAAGTTGAGACTTGAGAGGTTTAGTTTTTTTTTTTTCAGTACTTTTTTTTGTTTTTCAGTACTTTAATAAGTGAGAACTTTTTTCTTTTCAACGGATAAGGGACTAGAGTCATTTTTCCGGAAGGATATTTCTATTTATGAAGACTAAAATGACTGATAATCTCTTATCTTCCCAGATGGATTACGCTGGATCTGGTTTGGATAAATGAACGCGGGGTAGCTGACTTGGCGGGGCCGATTGTTTTGGGTGCATCACCGCCACTGAGAGGGTTGATGGAGAAAGGGAATCATTGCCGGCGGTGACAGAAAATCAGTGCTCCCGTCAATATTTGGAATACGGAAAGCCAGGCGTGAGGGGGTCCGAGGCAGCAACGTCGCCGTAGGCTGAGGCTTGGAGGAGAAGAGGGAATCGGCGCCGGAGGCGACAGCGGTGACAGTGACTGTGCAAGAATTTCAAGATACTGCCTCAGATATTTCCTGAGCTTCTATTAGCTGAACCGTTTACTCACTGAAGTAGCCAGTATGGAGATTCCTTATCTAAATCGCCTGGCCCAGCATTCCTCTTGGACAAGAGTATACACTAGCAAGAGGTGATCCTTCTCTTCTTTACCATTGTCTGCATCCGCAAGCATCCATCAATATCTTGTAAATAGCATGCTCCTGTGTGTAATGTACTCCTTTTTCTGCATCTGCAAGCAGCTCCCTCTTTTTCTTGTTAGGCCTTAGATTCTAGAGAGATGAGATATATTAAGGGCCTTCACGTCACTTTTCTGCCTAAACATGGGTCTTTTTACTTAAATACTACTTCTTCAGCTCAATGCTATTCAATGTAATCCTAACATCTCTCCCTCTCTCTAGGTCTCTTCTTTATAGTCTAAATGGTAAGCATGTGTACTCAGAATGTTGAAGCTGCTATTAATATGCCCCTGAAATTTATTAAGCGGTTGAAAAACCAAAGCACTGAACTGGAGTGGTTTGAAAGGATTAGATGCTTGGTATATGAGATGACGGCAATGTGAAGGTAATAAAACTAGAGTTATAGAAAAGATCATGATGAACATGCAAGGAACCAGCATTAGGCAATGCTGAATTCATTTTAGGCACATTCAGAGTTGATTAAGTCGCAATTATACGTGTTACAATCTCATAAAAATCATGTTCTTAAAAATGCGTTCATAGCTACTCGAGCTTACAGTATACGGTTGGAATATACGTGGAAGTGATACTCTCTAAAAGGGTGTAAATTAATGCCAGCCGGAGGCACTTATGTAAAGGTTAAGATTCTTCTCTGCTGATATGGAATCTCTGGTTGTGGAAAAGGACTTCATTACTGTCAGTGTGGAACCATTGCTAACTCCTAAATACTCAACACACCGTGGCCAAATAGCGTGACTGTGCCATTATGTTTCAAAGAAGTACAATGGAAGATGTGTGGGTCCTCATTTTGCTTTTTATTACTTTTTCTGAATGTCATGTTGTACTTATTTGGTGTTTTTGTTAATTTACATCAGGAATCAACCTCATCATATTGCAAGGGTTTTCTTTTGCCAAGCGAAGAATGGTAAGCATTTATTTGCTGACTTTAAAGTCGTGACTGAGGTTTGGTTTTTAATCTATTAAATAAAGTCCATTCATGATATCGATCTTTGGTACAGATCGGTCATTAAAATCGTGCCTCCAACCCTATTAGCAGCAGAAAAGGAAGAAGCAAAGGCGTTATTAACCTTGTTTTTGAAGAAACAAGGCTTGAGTAATGCAGTTGCAGCAAGAACCATCAATAAGTCAGATGTTTTTGTCGATCACCTTGTATCGAAGATTCACTCTAAACATAAATCTCGGTACCTAGTAGGTTCGATTGCAACGTTGTTTAGTTTTGCACTTTCATTTCTTTTTTATTTCCATTTAGTCCTAATAATCTTAGTCTCCTTGACATGAACAGGAAGAGAACTTACAACTCTTGAGATTAGAGATGCCTTGATTCCTTATCTTGAATCCCTTTTTGAAGAATATGGAGACATTTTGATGGATTCGTGGAAAACTATCCAAACCCTCCTGTCAAGGAAAAGCCTAGAGCGCCAATTTCTATTCCTAGTTCATTGGTGAATCAAAGAAGACGAAAGCCATGTCTCGAGTTAGTGAGATAGACCGTGCTGGCAAGCTTCGTCCTCATATTG